TCATCCCAGGATTATATTGTCACATCCTATTTCCTCCACCACATCTGTTCTGAGCAATCGGCCACAACAATGGCTGTACAGGATACTGTAGCCTCTGTGCTGCGCTAAGCCACAAAAACAGCCTTGCAGATGGAAGATCCCCATTACATCAGTTTCCCCTGCATCCACGATGCAGCACACAAGGCCCTCTATGGCTGGAAGGAGCCCTGTTTGAATCTTACTTTAGTGTCTTCAGCAGAGCATTTTTTATTCTGAACGCACAACCTGCTGTAGATTTAAAGGTTTAGGTGAAAAAGATGCACAGTAACTTTTGCCAAATGATGTTTTAACTTTAGATTTTACAGGATTTGGACACCTGTCTTTTAACTTTTCAGATAGTGGATTTGTGTTTGCCTATAAATACCTAAAGTCAAAGTATTCTAGTCAATAAAACAGCCACACATACACTGATTAAGATTCATAAGGGCCCGCAGACACATTTAGTTTATTTCTGTTTATGCAACTTTCTTGCGAAATTGCTTTGTTAGTTACTGTGTTATATATCATTCAATCTATGTTTCTGGGCTTCCAGCTGAGAGAATAAAAAGCTCTGGCAGCGTTTGTCCAGAATAATCGAGCCTCCACGCAGACTTTGACACATCCCCTGTCTCCTGGGTTTCGTAAATTTGAACATATAGGTGTTGACAGATATAAAAGGAAAAATAAATTGCCTTTCAGAACGACACACGCATAGTGAACGTGTAGCATCTGTTTTTATGCAGCAGCGAGAGGCTTAAGTTTTTTTTTCTGAAGAGGCGGTGGGGGGGGGGCACATCTATGATTAATGGGAGTGTGGACATAGTGGCATGTTTATGTAATAGTTTAAACACATTTAACACACACAAGTGTGCATAGGTATACACAAGACGGCACCTTTTGCCAAAATGGAAAAGTGAGTGCTATCATAGCCAGTATTTATCCTAAGAAGGCTACAAACTAAAAAGAAGAAAGTATGATGGGCCAAAACAACATGGCTTACAAACAGAGAAATCTCAGTTGTCATAAATGCAGTGTTGGTTTGTGAAAAGTGAAATAATCTTTATATGTATAAACTATAATAAACAGTATTGTAGTATTCAAATTTTTGATGATTAATGACAATGAATTAGTTTGCTTGTCAGCTGATTCAAACCAAAATGACAAACATCTGACCTTGAATTAGAAGAAGGTAAAAATGAATTGGACACATCGTTTTTTCCATGCACGAGTGAGGGTAGAATGGAGCATGAGATGGATCGGCGGTTGGCGCAGCATCTGCAGTGATGCAGGCACTGTGCCGGACAGTTGTGGTGAAGAGAGAGCTGAGCCAGAAGGTAAAGCTTTTGATTTACTGGTCCTTCTACGTCTCAACCCTCACCTGTGGTCATGAGCAGGGCTTGACGCTAACTTTTTTCCCAAGGAGCACATGTGCTCCTAAGTTGAAAAAGTAAGGGGCGCACAAAGAACTTTAGGGGCACAATGTAAATTGATCAAGTCCACATGGGCCTGTTTCAATAATCACATCACCAACATGATGCCAGAATAAACAGCAGGGTTTTCCCGAACATTATAAGACTGGCCGCAGTGATTCCCCCTGTTTTTGGTCTTCACTCTCTCCTACTTGCACAAGTCTGAAGAAAAGTAAAACAACACTTTAAACACAACGCAGCATAGCTTACTGGTAGCCTGCAGCTGCACTTTTGGAGTAGATGACGCCAAAAGGTCTGTCGTTCGTCCTTCCACTCTGAAAATCTACCAGCAAACCACTAAATTGATCAAATAATGTGTTTTCCATAATAAACGTGATGCAAATAGACATTTACAAGCAAAATTATTTAATGAATTTGTATACAAAACGTACAGAAAGGTAAAATCATCAAGTTTTGAAAAAGTATTGCAATTTAATTTTGTCTTTAATGTTATTATCTTATATATATTATCTTTGCAATATGATTATCTTATATAATGTTATTACTATCCTAAAACATTGTCCAGGTCCTCTGAAACTCTGCAGGATTATTTCCAGCCTGCCCAGCAGCAGTACCGTGGCAAACGGTCCCTAACTGCGGGGAGAACGGAGCAGGCCTCCCCGGAGGTCTGCCGCTTTTCCCGGTCCATCTCCTCCACACTTTGACATATTTCCACACTGCCGACAGTGGGACTTAATGGCCGGGCTCCACCGGCTGCAAACGTAAGCGTCACGTCAGCATAGCGTCGCGGCGTATTCATTGGGGCTCCACTGACTGCGTACGGAAGCGACACGTAGAGAAGCCAGCGGGGTTGTTTAATGCTGAGCCGAGAGGCTGCATGTAGGCAGAAAGAACTGTTAAAGCATTTTCCACCTAAGTTATTACATATATTTGAGTTATCTACAAGTTTACTGTACTGTTTGTCATCTACTCGCTTTCAAATGTCCGCCACGGACATTTACACAATGTCACGGATAAACATGGGTAAATGCGTGAAAAAAAAATCATCACGTATCACCTCTGATAATGGTTTATTCATTTAAAAACACATTGTGCTCGTTTAGCACACTATTTCATGTAGTTTTTATCTGCTGGAGGGTGGCGTAGGGGAGCGTAGCGCAACAAAAATAGAAGGGCCGCGTAAAATAGAGAGTTGTCGCGCGACAGATGGGGGTTGTCGGGGGGTGCCCGGTGGAGCCCGGCTGTTATATTCATTGTGCCAACAGTGGCTTGGAAAACCACCCATTACGCCAGGGCCTGCCCTGCCTGCGAAGTGCAGCGCACCAAAATTCTCCCGCGAGCCAGAGCACTTCAGTTCACATCAGACGCACATTTCTCCACTCTGGTCGACAAGCGGTTCTGCTCCCCGCTGTTGTTTCCATCACATTTGGGGCTGTTTTTCCATCATGGGTAACTACCCAGCTTGACACATTCGCTCGCGGCTCGCGCAGAAAATAGACCAGACGCCGAAATGATCGCTGCAGGGCCGGTGGCGGAGCTGCGCGGCACGGCCGGTGTGGATGACACAATCGGTTAACATGGGCGCCGAAAGGAAACTGGCTTCACTTCTCGGCGCTTCGAAGCTATTCGCGGCGCTTCCGCGGGCGGTGTGGCTCTTAACCGTGTCACACGGGGAAGAGGGAAGAGGGAAGGCGGCTGGAGTTCCTCCAACATTTGCGGTTAGATTATCATATTTTTTTATTTACAAAAATATAGGCTGCTTCAGCTGATTTTTTTTATGCGCACATGTGCCCCTAAATATTCTTTACAGTTCGCACACACCTATTTTTAGTCACAAATGCGAGTGAAACGCTCGCACTGTCGAGCCCTCATGAGTTCTGGGTAGTGAGCAAAAGAATGAGATTGCGGATACAAAAGGCCGAAATGAGTTTCCTCCGTGGGGTGGCTTGGCTCAGCCTTAGAGATAGGATAAGGAGCTCTGACATCTAGCAGGAGCTCGGACTAGAGTCGCTGCTCCTCGTTAGAGTTGTTCCGGGCATGTCCTACCGGTAGGAGGCCACGGGGCAGACCCAGAACACGCTGGAGGGATTGCATATCTCATCTGGCCTGGGAACACCTCGGGGTCCCCCAGGAGGAGCTGGAAAGCATTACTGGGAAGAGGGGCGTCCGAAATACTTTGCTCGGCCTGCTGCCCCTGCAGCCCGGCTTCGGATAAGCGGTTGAAGATGGATGGATAGATTTTTCCCTGAGCTGATTTATGAGGGTAGCTAAGGAGCGAGCCATCTCGCTTCCTTCTTGTTCCTGGTAAGGGCTGCACATATACAGTACCAATCAGGAAATTGCAAGAAGATGGTGGCGGGTAAGGACAGAAAGTTTGAGCTGCAAGCAAGCATATCAGTTATCCTGGAAACAGGAGTTTAGTTGGGTGCCGTTCAAGGATGTGGGCAAAACTCTGACTATGTATTGAGCAGTTTGAGAGCAAGGTGGATAAAACAGTTGTTTATCAGGACAGTTAACTAACTTCTGACCTACTTGTCTGACCGGCCAAGTAAAAAGAAAAACAGCAGCAGCAGTTTCTAGCCTTGTTTTTGGAGTTTTAGTGGTGATGTTGCTCTTTGGTTTGTGTTTGGATTACAGGTTGTGCCTTAAATTATTCTTAGCAGATAGTCAGAGCTTGTCATGAGTAAGCAGGCTTGGCCTCAAGTGTTTTGTTTGGTTTTGCTTCTCTGTTATATAAAATAGGAACCTGCAGCACATCTAAACAATGACAGGTGACGGCAAGAAAGTCAGGAAGGTTGAAATGTGACATGTTTTTTAAACTGAGCAAAGTGTGCTGATTTTAAGCATTTTTCATACCCTCCTTTAATAGAACGCCTTTGGCCTGGCCTTGTGGCTTTTTTACCGATCATCAAAACACTTCTGTTTCGGATCTTCAGTTACAGCTCAGCCAGCTCTGATGAGCCGTCAGTGTTTATCATGGAGGAGAACAAACATGCAAACATCACGTCTCTTGAAAACCCTCTGGTAAACAGGCTGTAAACATGTTGCTGGATGCTACTGTGAAGCCACAGAGTTCCTCTCTGTGGTCTCTGCTGTCCTCTCTGACTGCTAATGCAGAAAACTGAAGTATTTATTGGCCTTTTGGGAATTCACATTGCAAGGCCAGGTCATAAATGAGTTCATATCAGCAGGAGAGAGAATCCTTTAACTGGAAGTGGTTCATTTGTAGGCTAATATTAGTGACCATGTTGTACCTTTTATTGGAGGATGACTTGTGCATTGCTAGAAGCCTCTGAGCAGAATCTGAAAGCTCTCTTTCCTAACCACAGCTGGTTTCTATGTCATGTTTAATGTGGTTTGATGCTGCTGTGTCAGATAGTGGAGATTGGAGTCGATCACATTATCTGAAACAGAGCCCCTGTTATCACACATACACCTTCACTTAGGGCTGTTTTTAGTCTTAGTTGAGGTTAGCTACTAATGATCACCAGGTGTTTGCACCAAAGAGGATCCATTTGATAATCAGAGTGTAAATATTTTGTCTCCTCACAGGTCCTCAATGCCCAGAAAGCCGGGTACAAGGCAGCCATTGTTCACAATGTGGACTCCAATGACTTAATCAGCATGGGATCCAATGATTGTAAGTTACCACCAACACCACCAGCACAGTCCTCTTTTTCTAAGCATTCAGCATCTTCCACAGCTGCCTGATTACGCGTCTTTTGACAGAGGATGTGCTTGTGTTTTTCTCTTAATCCCCAAGCCTGAGGGAAAGCCAGGCTTCTTTCATAGTTAGAAGTCCATTTCAAGTCTTAAGATGCACTCGAGAAAGGATGTGATGCCCCGCAGCAGCGTAGCACCCCCTGCATATCAATCCATGTCCTCCCTGCCTCCCTCTAGCCCACATTTGTGATATGATGGTGTCTGGGGTTTTCCTTCAGTTAGGTATGATCTACTATTCCCACTTGAGGGGTTGCAGTACAGTCATAAATTATCCAGAAGGCTTCCTGCCCTGGTTATTGTTTTTAAGAGGAGTTGATCTTATAAGCTGGTGTTTTATACACTGGGTAAGGCAGTTTCTCCCATATTTTTAGGCCAATAAAACCTCTTTCCTACGGGACAAAAAAACACTAACACCCTCTAAAATTGTTATTTAGCTTTAATATGTAATGGAAAAGGTTATTATCGGCACCCATTCCCAGGACAATTGAATCTGCAGTAGTCTAAGTTATTTATCAGCTCCAGCTCCGATCAGCTCCAATCATCAGTGCTGGAAACATGACACCAGGGTGAACACACAAATTTTCCCCCTTTTGCAGTGTGATAGAATAGCCCCTTTTACACTGCCAGATTTTCGGCAAATGTTGGGCTGTTTTGCCGGCAAGCTGCGAGTGTTTAGACACACAGAGCCGGATTGGCGAGTTGATCCGAGGTGCCCAATTTTCCGCCCCGTAGGGTAGTCATATTGGCGGAACCTTTTTGGTTTATAAAGAACGAGGCGGCCTTCCACAATGGGAGGGGCTGTTGAAGACTTGTGGGAGGAGCTGTTGATGACGCCGNACCGATGCTAGTGATGAAGAGATTAGGGCAGTGCTGTCACAAGAGGAAAATGGGTCTGAGCATGTTATAGCATATGCTAGCCGGGCTTTGACCAAACAGGAAAGGAAGTATGCCACTACTAAAAAGGAGCTGTTGAGCATGGTCACATTCACAAAATATTTTAAGCATTACCTGTTGGGGAGGGAGTTTGTTTTGTGGACAGACCATAACTCCTTGCACTGGCTTCATAATTTTCAGGGTCTTGAGGGGCAACTGGCTCATTGGGTGGAGCAACTGGCTAATTTCCAATACAAAATCATCCCACCGACCCCGTTAATCTGCATGCTAATGCAGGGTGTTGGTGGTGGTAGAGATAAGTGGGAGGGACAGCGGCTTTCCGTGCCTCCAAAAAAATATGCCCTATTCATTCAGTGTTTACCCAACACGCTCAATACATGGACATGCAATGACAAATTGTCATTAACTTATTACGTTACAAAAAACGATGAAAATATGGACTTACCCATGTTTAAAATGACCTGTTGAATTGAAAAAACAAGAACTGACGGGAACAGACGAGTGGAGTCGATGTTTAACGCAGGAGACGGGCCGGGCCGGATCTAAGCTCTAACGCAAACCTGACAGACACTGTAAAGATGAGCAACTGGGGAGACAAGGAATTGTGTGCCCTCCTTGCCCTCGCAAACGAAGAGGCCATTAACCGTCAGATGACTGGGACGGTTAAGAACGGACCAACTTACGAGAGAATCGCCGAAGGACTGACTAGCCGTGGCTTCCCTCCCACGTCACTGTTTACGTCACATGCTGAGCTACACGTTTTGTTACTTGCTCACGACCCCCATTGCCCCGAAAAAGGCACATTCTGTATAAACAAAAGTAGGTAGGCGGCATTTTGCCGCACTCCCCGATTTTGTTTTTATACTGCCAAAGCGGAAAAAGACTGATTGGGCTTTCCTGCAAATTTGCACAATTCCTATTTAAAAAGGGCTACAGATGACACATCACAACAAATTCTGTCTGTCTCAGTCCAAGCAGCACGCAATCATTGTTTCAAATTAGTTGGCAACGAGTTTTAGAGAGAGTCTGAATAAAGTAGAGATATAGAAGTAACATTTTCACTGGTTTCTACTGTTTGCTAACCCTGTTTTTACATTCCGTCTGTGACCTTCCTGTCTGTGACACACTAGTAAATACAACAGAAAGTCATACTTGTCTACTGCAGAGCCGTGTACACTGATTATTTACCAGGTTTTCTTACATTAATAAAGCCTGCGTATATGAACTAATTTATGGTGTATGGAGGTGTCATTGTGCTTCAGCTGGAGTGTTTGTCGGGTTGGTCAAACAAGGTCTTATCCCTCGCCTCCTACATTTGTCCAATGTTAGAATTAGCAAGGGGAAAAGGTTGAATGAAGCAAACTTTATCAAGTGATAAAGACTGTTAGATGTGGTTAAAACCTGTAGTTAGGAAACTACTTTAACTTAAATTTAAATTTGGTGCGATACAAACAAGCCTTATTTTACTCTTTCTCTAATAACAGGACTTTAATTTGTAATGATATATTGATACATTACTTTTCTGTGTTTCCCTTTTTAGTGGATGTCATGAAGCAGATAGATATCCCCTCTGTGTTTGTGAGCGAGGAAACTGCCAACTCTCTGAAAGAAGACTTCACGTATGACAAGGGGTAAGTCCAAACCCAGATCTCATTTTTCAGTCCTTCAATAGAAATAGAAGCAGGTTTTTTACTCCTCAGATTTTCAGTGTGAATTGTGAGGAGATGGCTGCCTTTTCAAACCTCAAACCTGTCCAGCTCCTGCCATACAAGTTAAATCTAAAGTTACAGAGTGATGCCGGCAGCGTGCACTGTGATATGTCAAGGCGCAGGGTTTGTCATGTGATGCGAATTCGCTGCTGGTGAGGTGGTAATGAAATGTCTCAGTCTGTCAGAGGAGCCCAGAGAGTCACAGCTTTAAAGTTCTCCATTTCTAAAAAAGCTGGTGTGTGTCTGTGTGTGGTGCTTGTCAGATACCATCCAAATAGACGAGGGTAATTCCCAAGTCTTTTGCTGAGGAATGAACACCAAACATGGTATTGGCAGAGTTTTGTCAGTGTGGACCAAGTTGGCTGTTACAGATTGGACTGGTTGCAGACATATTTCTGCTGTGGATGGAGTTCTGTGAAAAGAGGTCGATCCCATTAACTCATAGTGTGAAAGGTCATCATGTGAATAGAGGACCCTCTATAGATAGATACTTTATTGTCCCTGTGGGGAAATTTGACTTGGACTGCACAAAGCTAGACCTGTCAACACATATGGGCACGCACCACTAGATAAGAAAAGATACAAAAAACAACCAATACAAAAATAGGAACGATGAATTGGAGGATATATGACACACTGCAGTTTTACACTAAAAAACACACTAAAATGAATCCCTTCCACTAAAAAGCCATTTTTTTTCTCCGAGTACAAAAAAAGACGACATTCATACGAGGCCGTTTCCATGGATAATGAAATGGATAATATTTCCACTATGTCAAAGCCATTATCTGCTGTGTTTGACAGGGGTCGATGCCCTAACTTAGTATCACCTTGAAATATAGAAAATGGAAAGGCTGAGCTGTGTCAGTATTGTGGTATTTGCGGATATCCAAAAACCAGTTGGTATCCAAGCCTTTGAAGATCTTTAAAAGTAGGTATGTTTCTCCGTCTGACCAGAACTGTGGGCTTTTCTTTCGGGCGTGCATCTCTGCCCCTCAGCCTTGCAAATTTTTGGCTAGTTGATTTGTGTACAACGCATCCATGACAATGCACAGACCTAACAGAGCTAACACATGTTGTTGACACGTCCAAAGAAGGCTCCTAAAACCAGCATAATACCGGCCTATCACATGTCCTATTTGAAAAATGCTACATTCAGAAAAAGGTCTAATTCAGTATAAACCAAACAGAATATCCAATCAAATTAAATCAAGCTTATTTCTATAGCACATTTAAAAACAACAGCAGTTGACCAAAGTGCTGTGCAAAATAAAAGAATGACACACAGATATGTAGCAATATGAAATATACACAAATATAAAACAGAATAAAACCGGTAAGAAGAATTACATACACAAAAAGATTATAAAATACTGAAATATTAAAACCACTATGAGCAACCAAAGGCCATTGACAACATGTACATCTTAAGATTTGTCCTGAAAGTGTCAGTGGAGGGAGAGGTTTTTATTGGGAGCAGGAGGCTATTCCAAAGCTTTGGAGCAGCTACTGCAAAGGCACGATCTCCCTTACCCACCAGCCTCGATTATGGGACCGTTAAAAGACAGTATTCGGAGAATCTAAGCGGTCGGGAGTGCCAGCCCATGTGTGGCTTTAAAAACAAATAAAAGAGCCTTAAAATCAATCCTGAATTTGACAGAAAGCCAATGCAGGGATGCTAGCACTGGTGTAATATGCTGTTTACCTGACCTATATCAAATTCAGTATATTGTCGAATTCAGTATAACAGTGGAATATTAGCATGCATGTAAACGTGGTCAGTGTTGCAGCTGAAACGATGAGCCATTACAAACTGACGCCATAACACAGCCTCTATGGAGGTTACATGCACGTTGCACGTTTTGTCACCTTCTGACACTTGACGATGGCTCTGCTTGCTGTTCTAGGGGACACGTGGTCCTCATGCCAGACTTCAGCCTGCCGCTGGAATACTACCTGATCCCCTTCCTCATCATCGTGGGAATCTGCCTCATCCTCATTGTTGTTTTCATGGTAGGTAAATCTTTGTTTTAAACTTAAAGTTCACTTTCCTTATAAACTGTTGAGCATATTCAAAGGCAGACAGTAGTTTTATTTGACTTAAAATGTAGTTCTTTAAATCAGTTGATTGGAAATAGGTGGTATTCTGAATTATTTTTGCCTCCTGAGGACTCGCAACACTGTTAACCACTGCTTTTAAATGAGAGCACTACTCTGTTACATCAGGAAAAGTACCACACTCTGAGTCCAGATTGGCTCTTCGTCAGGTACCAGTACCATCCAGTGTGGGCACAAGATATCGCACTTTTCCTAATGTGACAGAAATTACAGTTACAGCTTTTTGGACTCAGCACTTGGACAAGAAAGATGTGGGTGTTCAGCGTACTGACTTTAAAAGGATTCTGACATGTTTCCTTTTTTTCCCCGCTGCTCATAGATTACAAAGTTTGTTCAGGATCGACACCGGGCTCGGAGGAGCCGTCTGCGCAAAGATCAGCTGAAGAAACTTCCCATCCACAAGTACAAGAAAGGTACGGAGGCAAACATCTCATTTACCTGTGACTGTGTCATTTAAACCCTAACGTAATTACAATATTCACTTTATGGAGAATGAATATCACACGTTATACTGAATGTTAAATACCATTAAGCCACTGTTAAATGACGGATCAAAAATCATTTTCATCCTAAATCTAACCTTTGACCTTAGAGCCTCTAGAGAAGGTATTTCCTCCTCTACCCCGCTGCTCTTTCTCACATGATTTGGCCCAGAGGAAAGATGTCATCAATGCATTACGACACATCATCTCTCCCTGGAGCTCTGCACCTTGGAGCTAATCGGATTAATATGGACTTGATTTTTCCACAAAGCCCTCCGTGGTAGATTAGAGCTCCTCTCTGCTGAGACCGGACACATGACTGATGGTTTGGAATGTACTCTCAGTCATGCCAGAGGCCTGACAGGGGTTGAAAGTTAAGCGTGTTTTGGTTTTCATCTTGGATGTGTTGAGCGGATGTACAGTATGTGCCGCTGGTTTGTAAAGACAGTAAGATTGATGAGATAAATACTGTATATTTGTGTGACTTTGAGTGTTTGAGTGGAAACTTGTGAAGCTTTTTCTGCCTCTGGCCTCCTCCTCTGTCCTCTCTGTACATGGGTCAAAAGAGGTCAGAACTCCAGCAACACCTGTAGTGTAAAGAACAACTTTATTGGTCGTTACATACAGTATATAAACAAGTGTTGCTTAAGTTTTGACCTCTTTAGTGGTCTGTCCCCTCTCCGTGCACCTTGGAAGTAGGTAAAGTTGTGCCAGAAACCCCCACCCTGCCTCTCAGTCCAAGGGTCAGACAGGCTATAGCATTGCTTTGCGATGCAAATCCTCTTTGTGCTATGGTCAAATAAGTTTTGTCTGTGTATTTAGAGGGTTTTCGTGCCGGCTGTATTTCCTGCGGCGGCTGTTTGTTGCAGACTGGAAATCCCCTGACTACAGTCAGCTGTGCAGGGGGACACCAGGGAGCTTTATAGACTACGGGTGGTGCATGATAAGTAGCCCCCTTGCAAAGCTGCTAATTGCGGGGGTTATGAGACGAGCTGCTCCTCCTCCGCCTGGCAGAAACAGATGCATGTGCAACACACCAGCTAAAGGCAGCATGTGTTGCTCAGATAGCTGTTTTTGTCACGTCAGGCTCTGTGGTTTGTGCGCTCTGGTGGCTGTGCCCACTCTGACTCAGGGTTTCCACCAGGCACCGCTACAGTCGACCTTGGCCGCTCCGGGGAGTTCATATGTCCAGGAAACGGCCTCCAGGGCGGCGTCTGCGCTCCTGTCAGCTGAGTCAGAGCATTTGGCTATACAGGAAGGGGACACCAAATCTCTACCTAATCACCTTTTAAGCCCTGCACTCTGGAGCAACGCGAGCTTGGCAAAGAGCCGAGTGCCCTGGTTTGAGCATAGGAGGGCTATAACAGGAGGGCCTGAGAGCAGTGGGACACTGCCTCTGTTTCCCAGAGCAGTGTGTTAGACAGTGTTTACACCAGGTCAGAGAGAGAGCTCTAATAACAGGAATAGTTTTTTGTTTTTTTTTTTAAATTAGTGAGGTGTCATCAAAATGCACCAGTCACCAAAGAGGGTTTTTTTTAGCTGAGACGGTTTGGTTGCGTCTGGTTGCTACGAATGAAGGAAGGCTAAAGATCCGTAGGTCTATGTGGGTTCATGAGAAGAAAGATATATTAATGTATATACACTATATTAAGATATTTCTCCTCCATTGTTTTTCTTGATGTTGTTCAACACTTGTACATGTAAGATTTGATGGTTGGTATTTGTGGTATTTGTCCCGCCCCTTCTCCACTGTGATTGGATGGCTGAGGAGAACGTGACAATGACAAGTGCAGTGTTTTACTCAGTGCTGAACATTTTTCACCTCTTGGTGCTCAGAAATAAAAACACCAAACATGCAGCACTCAGTGCCTCGTCACACCGCTGGTGTTTGTAGCGTAGCAAAAATGTGCAGCACTGGTATTGCAAAGAATTTTAAAAATGCGCTGTCCTCAGGAAAAGCGCTTCAGTGGACACAGGCCCTAATGTTGGCACTAGGTTTTGACAGGAAAGAAGAGTGTGTGGTATTATAAAGACGATACCTCTTATTCTGGAGTCCGACAACATTATAGAAGCGCAGTGTGTTATTAGTGAAGAAGTCTTTAAAACGTGGACTGGCGTGGCCTTATGGAAACAAAATAATACCACAGGCTCACTGTATGTCTGTATAGAGACAATGACAAGCTAGAATCACAAAGCTGCTGTTACATCAGCTCATCAGGACGCCAGTGGTCATTGTTTACAGCATGATGATTGTTTTTTCCTTATAAGCCTCATGTTGTGAGGATTTTTCAGCTGTAGCATTTTTTAGAAATGGCTCAGTGCCACACAAGTCACTGTGACACTCAAGACTCGCTGCTGTTCCAAGCCCCATCGAGAAGTTTTTGGGCAGTGTGTGTGGTGGGTGTGTGTGTGTGTGTGTGTGTGTGTGTGTGTGCTTATGCTGCACAGAGTGGGAAGGATGTCTAATGGCGCCCTTGGCCTCTGCTGCAACAGATAATGCTGAGCTTGGACTCTGGGGGCTTTGAGCAGATGCAGCCACAGTGAACAGGAACACTGTGATGCTGCTGTGTTAGTGTTGCTGTTAAAGCTGCAGTCTGCAGCTTTGCACGGTGGAGCCACTGTGCAAATGTTTGAAGCTGCTGTTTCCACAGTGGCCACTAGGTGCTGGCTCCAAGAACCAGACTGAAGTCCCAGAGGAGACTCCTAACTTCTCTTGAAATACAATGACAAAACATTCTTAGTGGCATTGTGAACTTAAATAGTTCATTTCACTAGGGATTATAATTAAAAAAAAAAAATGTGACCGATCATTACCGATAAAACGATAAGAAAGGGTAGAGCTAACATAACATTTTCTTTTTGATATTTGAAATATTTGATATTTACTTTCTGTCTCTTTTTATTATGATACTACTACTGCGGGAGTGTGAGCTCAACATAAGTCCACATGACCCACACAGTGACTGGGCTAACTGCTTGCATCAAACAGCTAACATTACCTGACGGGTCAAGCCACTCTAGTCTCGGTGTGAGTTTGTTGGGACCGTAAAACGGCTCTGTGTTGGATGTAGGGTTGCAGCGGTATACCGTAAAACCATATATCTTGGTTTGAAAATTACTGTGTACATTTGCTTGTCTACTGTATTTAAAAAAAATGCAACCAGACGGAAAAAATTCTTCTCCTTCATGACTTCTTGTCAGACTTTTTTACACATTCCTCCATTTAAAAAAAATGGTTCCAGTTAAAATGAAGTATTTGTTCAGCTAAAAAAATCCTGTTTTTGTTCATACAGTTGCAACCCTAGTTGGATGTTAGCCGCTACTGCAGTGTTAGCTCATGCTAACCGGGCAGACGTTGAACTGAGCGCTCTGATATAGGTGTCCAACTCTGCCTCTGGGTCATTAGCTTGTTGAAGGGTGTTGTAGTCATTTGCCTGAGGTGACATCATGGCTTTGCTTCAGCAGACTTTGCTTTCTCATTATCTCCCCCTGTAGCATCAGTTTATTAAGTTTATTACATATTTTTTTGGGATGTACGATAACGTCTGCATGTCGTCTGTATCGGCTGATATTGGCTTCAAAATTAAACGGAATAGACCAACATGCTTTTTCCTGTTTTGGGCCATCACATTAAGAGTATTCTGCATAATATGATATTAATTCCACTACAGAAGGGACTTGATGATCACTAAAATTAGGTGGGGAAAAAGTGTATATATCAACCTTGGTATCGGTCAAATGAGTTGTTACATGTTGGCATATCGGATATCGGCAAAGAGTATCAGCCCCTATGGCAGCAGTGGGTAAACCCAAATCCATGCGTCAAAACTTCCCATTATAAACCAATAAGCGGCCTTACAGAGACCACTTCAGTGCCTCTCTTTACAGTCTGTTATTCAGATACCACTGTACTGCACTGGTTCATTTCAGAGGCAGGAGAGTTTCTAGATGCAGCATGGTGCGAAGTCTTTTCTGGGTAAGTGAAGTCACCTCGGGAAGATGTTAACCAGCTGATCAGCCACAGCCTCAGCCGTTGCTGTGCTGGCAGGATGCCTTTCTGCTGATGAGTGTATCAGCCCACCATCTACCATCTCTGGCAGAGGAGCTCAGACTGGCACACTCCGACATCTATCTATTCACTCTGCAAACACTTTGTCAGACGTGCTCCTGTCGAGTTGTTTTTTCACATCCTTTTCACATGTTTCTTGCTGCTGCTGTTGCTGTTACATTTATACCTTTAATATTCGCTGGTGATGTTTTTTTATTATATTTAGCCACCTGACAATTCATGTATAGATTTGGTAGGCATTGGATAATGTCAGACCTGCATGTATGGAAAAGGGAGTGCACAGGCTGAAATGAATAGCAGCTGACACAAAGGGTGTCTGTATGGACGGTGCACAATGCCTTAATGAAAACCATGGTACCCATGTAATTAGTGCACAATACCAGTCTGAGCAGTAGCATGCAACATAAGATCTATGTCAATGTACAGGATTATGTAATCACAGCTGTCAGTGTGCAGCGTCGCTCTGCCATTAGCTTGACTTGCGCTCTGGTTTTATTGCAGAGCCTTGCGTCATCCCCACTTAGGCTGAAAGCCTGACATTTGACAGTGAGTTTTGGCCCTCTGGGTGGCGAGTTTCACCAGCAACCGTCGTCTAACAGACGTCAAAGCCAGAAATTGATGACACACAGGCTCATAGTTGACTGTAAACTGGCTGAGGAAATGAGGGGGGGATTGTTTTAGACCCTTCATTAGACTGAGAGAGGCTGGACTCTCCCTCTGACCCCTGAACTCCAGTCTGATCCCTCCTTGCGTATGATGAGTCACATCACCCCTCCCTTCCACGGCTTTCCGCTTCCAAACCATAGGCGGGGAGCTGAGCACGAACACACACACACACACACGCACACACACACACACATGC